TTTTGGTAGGCTAAATATTTTTACTTTAAGTTATTCTTTAACAAAGTTTACTAACTAGCTGTTCATTACTTTTATTTTATAGACGGCCGTTCTTTGAAAGGCGAGTATCTTTTTTTTTTATTTTTTTTGTAAGAAATATTGTTCATTTCTTTTTTTTTTGTAGGTTCGTTTCGGTTTTAAAACTGAGAAATGGTCCAAATGGTTAGTTTCGCAAAGTTTCATTTCATTGTGAAGCTTTAATTTCTTTTTTTTGAGAAATGTTATACTAACGTTTCTTCTTTTGTTCTTTGTAGGTACTCTTCAGATTATGTGATTAGATTTCGAAGTTTCATTTTGAAACTTCAAATCTTCAGTTTTTTTTAATATTTTTAAAGAAATGTAACGTTTCTTTATTTATTTTTTTTGTAGGTTCCCTTCAGCTTTCGATTTTGGGTTGGAATGCCAGGTAAGCTTCGAAGAAGCTATCTTTTTAGTTTTCTAAAAATGTCTTATTAACATTTCTTTATTCTTTTTTGTAGGTAACTTTGATCTCGGATTGATATTACGGGTGGTTTCAAAATATGTTTCGTACTGATTTCATTATGAAACTTTAAAATATTTTTTTGCTTTTTAAAAGGAACGTTTCTAACGTTCTTTATTTTTATTTTTTTTGTAGGTTTTGTGATTCAACATTCCAAAACAGTAAAATAATGGTAAGTTTCTTATTACAAAACTTAATTTTATTTTTGTTTTTTACTAAGAAACGTTCGTTCTAACGTTTCTTTTTTACTTTTTTATTTTAGGTACTTTGGAGTTTCAAGTTCATTAATTCGCTGAATCTCGAACTGGTAAGTTTCTTAACTTACCTTTTTTATTTTTTCAGAAACGTTTAACGTTTCTTTTCTTTTTTTCTTGTAGACTTTAAGACTATTTGGGTGTAAAGTGTAAACTTCACTTGTTTGTTTAGATTAGTATATATTTAGTATAGATTTAAAAATGTATCATTTGTTATTGAATAACTGAATGCGATAAATAAAATAATCTAACTTAATTATGTAATCATGAATAAATACAATGATATTTAACTATAGATAATATAACAATTTAACCTGTAATGATAATTATCGATTTTTAACTATAGAGATAAATATCGATTTTTAACAGTATTGATGATTATTGTCAATTTAATCTAATTTATCCATATCGAAACTACTTGACGAGTGCGATTATTATCGATATATGTCATGTGATATTTTCATCGATATATATCCCCTGAAAAAATTTCCTGATGCAACCAATTTCTTTCATTCTCGCCTTTCTTCTTCTCTTACCTGTCCTTTTCTTACCCTTTCCCTTTCATCTTTCTTTACTTTAAGTTTCGGAGGGCAATCGAGATGTTGGAACATGCTGCGTATTATATTTATATTTACTTGAAGAATAAGTAAATTGTGAAGATGCAACAAATTGACTCTTAATTGACCCGCTTATAAAATATTTATTGAATTTTATAAAGAACTTAGCAATTAATGAAATTAATGGATATAAAAATGTTAGCATAAAAAAAACCTTAAATTATGTGATTGATGCCATTGGTTTATTAGGCGTTAAATAATCACTTAAATTCAAAAAAAGATTTATCATTTAAGTTTAAACTAATTTTTGTTTGAACACTCAACTTCCACTTTCACTCTGTCTTCACATGCAACAGTTAAACTTTTGATTGATTTAATCTAACCCGCTATTTTGCAATTAAACTAGAAAGTTTCATATTTACGTTATCTATTATTGCACAAATTTTAAATTAAATGATAAAAACTTCATAAGAAATGAAATTAGCGTCCACCAAATAATATCAGCTAGTATGATTGTGCGAAACGCAGTTTTTTCTAATTAATTTTGGCAAACTAAAGTTCTAAAATGAACTGAAAAAGAAGTTCAAAAAATTGCGTATAGATCGAGTAGCTTCATTCCAGATCCCGTATTCATTATATCACTTTCATTATCAGATAGTTCAATCTTTTTTTATTTATTTTTCACGCAAGCATCTTCAACGCTGGTGTGTGGAGTAGAGGTTTGCATTTGGGCATATTTTGAAACCCGGACCGGCCCAGACTCGGACAGATATTCTTATAAAATTGTGTTTTCATGTTTTTATTGTTTGTTTTGAAAAAAGTTGTATATAATAATATACAGTGATTTCCAGCAAAATAAGATTTACATAGGACCCCCGAGAAATACTTAAAAAGAGCGGTGCATAAAAAGGCAACAATACAGAGTTTGCGTAGAACGAACAAAAATAACGGGCAGATCCTTCCTTTCTTGGATAATTCCAGGCGGCATTATGTAATTCTGACACTGAAGGAACGCGTAGGGTCGGTAGGGATAAAGTAAACGATGATATGGCGTTCTTTTAGCCAAGTTAAATCAGTATAATTCTGGCCTACTTATACATCTGGAGGAATACGGTATAACACCATACGTCTATTTACAGTAATCTGTAAAGTATAAAAAATAATAAAATAAATTTTTAATTTATAATATAAGGACATTACAGATTTACAACTTAAAACTTTATTTAACGTTATTCTCGGTCAAAAACCGCACTGCTGTTAATCACAATGTAAATAAATAAATTTGAATCCCTCCATCTTATACTAAAAGTTATTAATTATAGTAAATATCTTGTAAACAAATATATATATATATATATACTGTATATATATATAAAGCTTGCTATTTTTAGATTAAGATAAATATTAAGTATGAGTAGAAAAGTAAAATTAATATAACAGAAGATAAACCTACCATCTAGAGAAAGTTTCATATGTATATTACAATAAATTTGAATATTTTTTATTAAGCAATACCTGACGAACCATTGTTAATAATATTATCATTTTGCTCATCATAATCAACAGAATTTTCTGGTCCGGAAATATCACCATCAATTTTAATTGAGAAGTATAAATTTGTAATGAATAGGTTCACACTTCACATGAAGAGCATTATTTAAGGATGAAATATGATTTTTTTTGCATTTGACGAATTAAATTTTACTGGAGATCGGAAAAGATATGATTTTTATTTTTAAAGTTTATTGACACGTTTTGCTTTTCTAAAAATAAAGAGGTTCGTAAAAACAAGATTTTTTTACTTGTAAAAAATGCAATACACTTGTACGACCTAGAAAAAAATATTAAATATTTTATTAAAATAATGGATGGCATGATAAAAAAATTCAGTATAGTTAAAATTATACATGCCACCCAAATTATTTTGGACTGCCGTAATTATAAGTAAAATCCCAAATTCAATTATGGCATCCCAAATTATTTTGGCACTTTACATAGTAAATTATATATAAACCGAATGAATTATGACATCCCAAATTATAATTATGGCATCCCAAAATAATTTGGGCAGCATGTATAGTTAAAATAATCTTTTTTGATTTCGATTATTATTGTGAAAAACTGAAAAGGTCTAAGGAATTAATGATTAATCTCACACGCTTATAAAAAAATGTAAAAAGGGACTTTGAAAAAAATAATGACTAATTTTAAATATTAAACAAGGATTAAGGAATTATTGCGTCGATAATTTTATTGTCTATGTTACTTAATAATGTAATATAATTACTGCGCAGTAGATCATGAGGGCTCCTGCGCCAATGGATGCGGATTGGCCATCGGAACGTGCATATGACTTTACAGCAATCAACCCGGGACTTGTATTTAATAAATCACGATGACGAAAAATAAAAATTGATTCTTTAATCCCCTGTCGCACTAAGTGTCACTCATGATCACCTTCATACTAATTTTTAAAAATTGCGCAAAATAGTTGAATGACACGCTCCAGGAGATTACCCATTTATTTCATGGAAGGGGTTTTTTCCCTAAGGGAAAAAAATCATATTATTCCATACTCCCCATGAAATAAATAGTACTAATCATACTTCTTTTTCAGCCATTTCCGATCGCTGCAGAAGCCATTCAAATCCCCAACGCTCACAATCCTAACAAATCATATTCAAAATCTTTGAACTCATTATCCTTACACTTATTATCTTCATTTTTTTTTTAGTCATGAATAATTTTGTTACACTTTATAATTGTAATATGTAATAATCTTAAAATATTTCGCAAGAATTAATGTCTTTATTGTAAAATTAATTAATAAATCGCAAAATTGAATAATAATTTGAAAATTTTATATAATATGATTTTTAAATATTTTATAATGTTTGCATATAAAGATATAATTTTTTTTAATCTATTTTTTATTCATAAGGATATTACAAACAGGATTTTGAATTTCGTGACTATATTTTTCAGGACTGTGAGTGTCGGGTTTTGTGTTATAACAGGATTCTGATCGTTGAAATTTCGTAGTAAATCCGATCGCTGCAGTAAAAAAAAAAATTTTTTTTTGGTTTTTTTTTTCTCTCCAGTTTTTTCTTTGATGGTTATACTGAATTTATTTAATTTCTTATTAAACCAAAATTTTATTTTTTTTTGGATGTTTCTTTAACGGTTAAACCGAGATAACGGTTAAACCAGAATTAATTTTTTTTTTCTTTCTTTTGAAAACCGTATTTTTTTTAACTTATATTTTTTTTATTTTTTTCTCTTTTTCCGGTTTTTGAAAACCAGATTTATTATTTTTTCATTCTCTCCAGTTTTTAAAAATCTTTTTTTTTTTTTGCGTTTTTTTAAACCAGATTCTTAATTAAAAAAAAATTATTTTTCTTTCTTTGTTTTTTTTTTTGTTCTTTTTCCCTACAGGTTTGAATTAGTTGATCGGATTGACGTCACGCTACTGCGTTTATGGGGTAAAATTTATCACATGAAATTGTAAGGGAGATCTTGTATAAAATATTGACGATCTTGAATCAAAATCAAATTTAGAATGACGTTATGTAATTTAAATATCAAGTGATCGATCATATATAAAATGATTTTCTCACAAATACAAAAAAAAAAAAAAAAAANAAAAAAAAAAAAAAAAAAAAAAAATAAAAAAAAAAAAATAAATGAAAAAAGAAGAGAAACGTCAAGATGATTTTTAAACCATTTGAAAATTTTGAAATTAATGATTTTATTTTACCACTCTTTACAATATATGTCGCATATTATTATTATAGATATTTTACTCGTGTTAATCCCTTACCTGGCCCTTTCCCATTACCATTAATTGGTACTTTTCCTTATGTTATTTGGTTTAGATTGATTAAAAAAGATGCCACAATGTTTTTTAAATTTTGTTACGATAAATATGGTGATATATATGAGACTAATAATTTTGTTCGATGCATAGTTTTGTGTCGAACAGAATATATTGAAGATTTATCATCATCAAAAAGTAAACTTGAGATGAGATGTCCAGATTATGAAGGATTAAAAGAATTGGGAGTTGTAGGAAAAGGAATAACTTACAATAATAATTTTAACTCGTGGACATTTAATCGTCATTTTTTTAATCAAGCTATTTTGTCACCGAAGTTCACTAACGAGGTTATTGATTGGACAAACGAACTTTTCAATGAATTAGAAAGTTATTGGAATAGATTATTTCTTAAAGAAGAAATTATTAAAGAAAATAAAAATAAATTGGATTTTATTCAATGGTTTAGTCATTATAAAAATGATATGATTATTAAATTATTAACTGGTGAAAGATCTTATTCAATGGAAGGTTATTTTATTACTCTTAATAATAAAATATCTGATCATCAATCAACAAGAATCAAAGATTCTGCGAAATTATTTCAAGCAATTTATAAATTTCAAATGAGTTATTTCATCTTTTTCGTATTTCCTTCTTTTTTACGACATCATGTTCCATTTTTTAAAAATATAGCGAATGATATACTTCAAAAATTAGATTTTATCAATCAAAAATTGGATGCAATTATTAAGAGACGTAGACAAGAAATTGAAGATACACCATTGAATGAATCCTTACCTCATGATATATTAACATCGATGATTATCAAAAATACACTTCGTGATGGTAATTATATCGAAACTGGTGCTAATAGATTTATGTCTGACAGTGAAATTCGCGTCAATTTACTCGATGGAATTATTGGTGGCACTTATAAAGTAAATTTTTAAATAATTTTTAAATAATTTTAAATTATTGAAATTTAATATAAATGCACTTAAAATTATATTAACAATTCTTTTATTTCTAATATAGTCTGCAAATATGCTTTCATTCATTATCTATTATATTGCACATCATCCAATTGTGAAAATGAAAATGTTAGAAGAAATTGATAATATATTTCAAGGTGATACAATTCGACCAATTACTAAAGATGATTTTTATAATTTAAAATACTGTGAAGCAATTGTAAAAGAAGTAGCTCGAATTTTCCCAATCATGTACTCGAATATAAGATATATTGATGAACCTAAAGAAATAGCAGGATATCAATGGCCAGCTGGTATAACATTTCTAGCTAACATTAAAGCTATTCATAATAAAGATGATTATTGGGAAGAACCTAATAAATTTAATCCTGATAGATGGATGGATGAAAATTTTGAACCAAAGAAGGATTCTTTTATAATGTTTGGTACAGGTTTAAGATTATGTCCAGGAAGAAAGTTAGCAATGATTGAATTAGTTTGTTTGATGGCTTTATTGTTTAGAAAATATGATATTAATTTAGTAGATATGAATTCTCCTGTTAAAACTAAATGTGATGGTCTTTTAGTTTGTTGTGTCGAATTATTAGTTGAAATTAAACCAAGAAATTGATTTTCTTATAATTAAAAAAAGTATGGATTATAGAATAGCGATAGCATTATGTAAGTAGTTAGTAAATTATTTTCGTCAATATAATCATTTTTTAACTACGTGAAAATTATTGATATGAAAAATCAATATAATTGTTTTTTTAACTACACAAAAGTCACATGTGACAGATAGTGCGTGACAAATGGGATTTTGCAGATGCCCATGAAAAATGGATTTTCGCGCAACGCGAACGGTTGCAATATCGACGTAAATACATACATCGTATCAATAAAGTATCTATCTAAATACAAACAAAATATAAAAACCAAACTATCTAAACCTAAACACACTATGCTACATAAAACTCAGCGACACCACGCTTTTTGTGTCTTTTTTGTTTTAGTGCAAAAGTCTGAATCCTTATTTACCATACCAGATACTGTAAATAACTTGATTAACGCATTTCATTCCTCAGTATTTTTTCCATCAATTTTACCAATACTCTTTCTTACTAATCTCTATGGCCTATGCGGCTGTTATATCGTTGACACACTCTCCCTGAGCGGACCGTTCGAATAACAAATTTTGGCGTCGAAACTAAACTCCCATGCTTTATCATCCCGTGACTACATAAATCTAATCTATTTAATCTATTTTCTGACAAATCAAAAACTTTTACCTAACACAATATTCTGGAATTTTAACCCTAAACTTTTATTTACTCTTTCTAAACTAACTCAAACTTATCTTATACTAACTAATCCGGTTTTCCAGGCTCACTGCTAAATTTGATCGTCAACACGTGATTTACTGCGGTTGTTGGCGACCTAAATAAAATTAGCTGTTACACATAATTCTTGGCAATCAGCGATTTGTTACTCCAGTGCATAAATAATTATGCGCTACATAGCACGACTTTTGCATTAGACTGGTGTTAAAAAAGAATGAACGCAGTAAAGTCACTAGCTCTGTCATACTTTCCATTTAAAAAAAATCACAAATTCGGGTTGGCAGACATAAGTATAAATTGAATATTTAGGTGTAAAACTGATAGAATTAAATATTTCGCTTTATTTAGATTTCTGAAAAATGTGATAATTATGTTTAATGGTAATTTTCTCTGTTCTCAGTATTCTAAAAAAAATAAACTGAAACATTATGTGAATGGCAGAGTAGCAAAATATGTGTAACCAATCCTCTATCATTCTATAACGCGAAACGCGTGATACTGTACACCTGCGCCATGTAAATTTTCGTGGCTAATCTAATGCCGGTCGTTCAGGACAATGCGATCGGCTGCCATTTAAGATTTCATAATGAACAGGACACTTGGCAAATTTTTATGTCGAAAGTACGAAATTAGCTGTAATTAATAATTTTTCTTTAATTACTTTTTTTTGGTCTTCCTTTAAGACCGACCGATTTTTTTAATTTAATAATTTTTTATCGGTCTTTTTATAGACATCATTTTTCGAATTTTTTTTCCCGCGTTTTTTCTTTTTTAGTCCTGTTGTAGACCAAATTTGACCATGTCCAATCCAGGCAATCCTTACCATCGGCTTAAATTGTCGGCCCAATCTAATAATGCCCTAAGACTGTACCAACGATGATCTCCTAATTTAGGTCGATGGTGAGGTTTGGAACATGGTTTGATTTGGTCTACAACAGACCGTTCGATTTTTTTTATTAACCCCATCTAGATTAAACTTCTATATAAATAATTTGAATTGTGTAACACAGAAAAACGGGATATGTCTGCACCTGATATATTCATCAAATCCAGTTAATGAAATTTGATCAAAAATCGAAAAAAGTAAAAAGTTTTCTTAATAATCATTTGTTTTCTTGGCCATTTTTAAGCCTATTCTCTTAGAATGATGCAATTGGCAGAATATTTTTTAATTTTCCTTTTCAGTATTTTTTTCCAAAATTTTTTTTTTCGAAAAGAAACCATTTTTTGGTTTTTGTTCTTTTTCCAAACTGAAAAATTTTTTTCAAATTTTTTTTTCGATTTTTTTCAAACTTTCCTTTTTCGGTTTGCTTTTTTTCAGCTTGATTTTTATTTTAAACCTGAAAAAAATTTTTTTCAACTTCCTATTTCGGTTTGGTCTTTATTCTAAAACCGAAATTTTTTTTTCAAACTTTCCTTTTTTCGGTTTGGTCTTTTTTTAAACCGAAATTTTTTTTTCAAGTTTTTTATTTTTTTAAAACTGATTTTTCTATATAATTTTTTTTTTTATTTTTATATATTTTTTTTAGTTTTTTTAGACTTGAAACTAGATCATTGGTCGGATTGTGCTGCGGTGTTATGGTAAGCACCTTTTTTCTGATTCTTATTTTTTAATGATAATTTTTTTCCTAATTTTTTTGTTAATTTTTATTTTTCATTTAGGTTAGATCAAGGCCATCGCTGTAATATAATCATTTTTTTATTTGAATACATATGGTTCGCATGATTTTTTTAGTTAGAAAATATATATCCAGCCAAATAAAAAAATAAAATTGATAATTTATAATATCTGAATTTCTCAAAAATGATTTATTATTATATCATTAATTCTATTGCAACGCAACAGGTTACAGCTAGTATGGAAATTAAATGTTTAAAAAAAAGTTTTTTTATTATTTTATAATGACACTGTTTTTTTTAAATGGTAATTATTGTATCTTTGTTTCAGGATTGATGGATACTATATAATATATTTTTTATTAAGATAAAAGTCATTGTTTAATAGCTACATTATTACTGTTCACTTAAATGTTTTTCATTTTCATTTTTTTTATTTGAAAAAACAATTCTTTTTGTAAAAACAGAAGAAAAAATTTGGTTCGTATTGTTCGCGCTTATATTTTCCATTTATGTTCAAGACACTGTTTCTGGATACATGAGCCCGCAGTAGAAATATTTAATGAAATAGACGAGGTTAAAATGTTATATTTAACGAAATAGGCTTAGACTTTTTTTCTTTTACTTTTATCATAGGTAATAGTCATATAAATAATTAATATTTTATTTTATTCTCAAAATTTTAATTTATTAATTTTCCAAAAAATCTCTTTTTTAATGTATCGGTATTTTGTACTCTTTTATATTTATTTTTTTATTAAAAATTATAAAACTTTAATACAAGAAATTATTTTTTTTCGCCTTACGCAAAAAAATAGTAATAATTCTAATAATTATATATAATCTATATATAATTAAAAATAATTTGGATTAATCAGCCGCAGCAGACCACATATCTAAGTTACCTTTTATACCTTTTTTTTACCAGGTCTTATACTGAATTTAATTAGTTTTTGTTTTCAGTTTTTTTTTTTAATACCAAAAGATTTTTTTAATATTTTTTTTTATTTTTCAGTTTAACCTTAAAAATTAATTTTTTTTTTTAATTAGTATTTTTATTTTCAGTTTTTTTCGCTCAAATCTTTTTTGTCAGTATTTTTTATTAATTATTTCGTCTTTTTGATCACTTGACCGAAATTTTTTTGGAGAAAAAAAATATATAACTAAAAGTTAAAATGAAGTCTCTTCACACAATTACCCAGTTTACCATCAAGAAACATCTTTTTATAATAAAAATCCTACAAGAAGAGACGGAAAATAAAATTTAATTTTACGAAAATATAGACAAAACGCAAACAGTGATCGACCCGGAGAATGAAAATTCCATCTTAAGGTTCAAAATTCTAAAGAAAATAGCTCACGAAAAAGAGAAATGAAAGTGGAAAAAAGAATTTGAAGATCGATGAAGAGATTCTAAAAAGAAAGAAAATGAGTATGTGCGAAATAATTTAATTTTATATTTTTTATTTAATTTAATAAATATTAAAATATGATGAAAAATTTTTGCATGATTCATATCGATATAGATAATTGAAATAGTGATACTATTTTTATGTTATATTCTTTAATTGTATACTCAATAAACGTATTTATATTGCAAATATTTTTAATAATGAAAGGAAAAAATAATATTTCTATAAATAAATCATTGATATAATAATAATTGAATAAATTAAAAATAATAACATAAAGTCCAATAATAGAAGGTACATTTATATTCATCACCAAGAATTCACTTTTATAATGGAGGTCGATGATTCAGTTAGATCGGTTAGGACCTCGAAATATATATATATAAAGGTCAGAAGTAACCAAAAAAGTTTTTTACCGCATTTAGGGCCGGAATTATGATAATTTCGGTTAGTATCCAAAAAAGATAGATTTCAATAGTTATTATCTATAAAAGGAAAGATTTTCATAATTAGTTGTTCAGTTTTTCGCGTATATTTCGAGGTAATGAATAGACAAGCGTCCGTCATTAGGGTGAGACGTCGCCTAATTAATCAAAGCTATGTCAGCAACATTGATTATTTTACTATAATCAGATTTTTCATGTTACACGGATCAATTTTTTTTAAATTTTTAAATTTGTCCGTTAAGCAAATTTTAAACGATCACTTTTAACGTAAAATTAAATTATTTTTGACCAAATAAATTATCAAATAATATGTTTGCTTTTCTTCACGATCATTATCTTCAATATTTTCCTGAATAGCATCATATTAACAATTGACACATTTAAAATGTTTCACCGCATGATGAAAACATGGGTTTACCTTCAAATTTTTATGACAAGTCTATAAATGGTTTAAAAACAAAGTTACGTTCAAATATTTCTCTTTATCATATAAAACTTTAAAGATTTGGTGCTTTATTAGTTCAAATTTTCTTTTAAGCAAATATATCAAATCATTTTTAAAACCTTTGTAAAAAAAAAAAACGTAATTACTTTGAGATGGCTCTTAAGAACAGTTTTCAACCAAAAGAAAGTTGAAAAATGTACACAATATTCGCAAGAAACTTTTAGAGTCTTGAGTTTTATTTCATAATAAATTATTGTAAAAAAGTTTATTTAATAAATTTTATAGTTTTGCATAGTATAAAATCTGATTATAGTAATATAATCAATGTTGCTGACATAGTTTTGATTAATTAGGCGACGTCTCACCCTAGT